TACAAACAGTATTTTGTAAATATTTACATGTATATTAAATGTATTTACATTTATATATTTATATGAAATTTATATTATATTTAATATATAAAATTTTTTCTTAAATATTCACATGCATGTGTGTGTATTTATATATATACATAATAAATATACACACACACATATACTATGTAAACAGAAACTTTTATTTTGAATGCGATTAATTGCGATTAATCGTTTGACAGCACTAGATATCAGACATTAAGCAGACAGTCTACTAATACTCTAATGAGAGTTAGGTGACCTGTAGGTTCAAAGCTACTTATAGTCAACAGTAGGTCTGCGACGATAAATCGATGCAGAATCTGAGGATTCTGGAGTTCTGAGATCTTCCGAAAGCATCGTGATTCTCTCTGGAATCGATTCTGAGCTTAGATTTTAACAGCAGATGGCGCTCTACTCTAGTTTTCATCCGCACACTCAAATACTCATGTAATTTCACCTCGGCTCAGAATGCTTTTATGATTAATGTAAACACAGCCTACTGTGAACACCCTTGTGATTCGCTTCAACCTTTTCAAATTTGATGAATGATTATTTTAGGTTCAAGTGTGTGTAAGGATTTGGAAACGAGCAGAGTACGGCTGTTTCTGAAGCATACAGCGCCATCTGCTGTTCAAAACTAAGCTCAGAATCGACTCGAGAAAGAATCGCCATGCATTCGGAAAATCTCAGAATCGATGCGGAATCATTTCTCGATTCGCGATGCATCGATTTATTTTCCCAGCCCTAATAATCGCGTTTAATTGTTTGACAGCACCTATATATATATATATATATATATATATATATATATATATGGAGGGGTGGCTAAAACCTGACAGAGGGGAAATATCTTTTGTTACTTATTCGAAATAGCATTTCTGCTCTTAAGTGCTAAAAGTGAAAGTTTGCAAACTTAACATAGTATACTTTATTTATCTCGAAAATACCTTACTTGTGGCTCCAGGTTGCAATTTCAATCAATAAGTTGCCAGGCTTCTTCCCTGGCTTCTGTGACGCAGGAAATAGTCCGAAAATCTAATTTTATTACATGGAACTGTTTATTGAACTTATACACATTTTAACTGCTTTGTATCATATTAGATACATAAAGCTTTTATGGTTTATATTTTATGATAGGCCTAAAGTGAAAATATAGGCTACAGCTCAAAATCGCGGAGGAAAACGACACATCAGTTTCATACAGAGGTCAGAGGACCATGCAATTTGGTGCTGTTGCTGTTATTTTGATGGCCAAAGGTAAGATGAAATTCTGAAACCATGTACTGTAAATAAATGATCTAAAAAAAATTATAAACTATCAATCAGATAGCAGGAGAGTGTAGTTTTAGCAAAGTTTTGATTATGAGGCCATAATTCAAGTATCAAATACGACATTGCATGGCTTTATAGAGTTACATTACCATTCTTTCCTTCCCTGTTAGTAACGCAACATAGTAGTAGCCTAAAGAGGATTCAAAAGAATATGTGGAGATTACCAAAACCTGCCTGACAAAATCATGTGCCACATTCCTAGATGTGTGTAGAAACACCATTCAGACATTGTCGATGAAATACAAGTCTGTCTCCAAGAAAAACTTGAGTCAGTCATAACCAACCTGTAGTTTAATCTTAAATGGCCCCTCAAGCGTTGAGAAGGGTCTGGCTGCAGCCTCGCACTTGCACTCTCAGACTTGCATTCTCAGACACTTGCGCTTGCGCTAGCGACGTCACTTGCAGGCTTTATTTTTTATTTTGTGTTATTTTTTATTACTTTTTGTTTGAATCTCTCAACATTTTACAACAGTAGCCAGGTGGTGAAGACAAGAAAAAATAAACTAAATTACAATGTAACTTGCAATCGACACAAATCGTGCGTGTTGCCAATGGAGACAAGACGCTGTGGTGGTGATTAAATTATTAAAACTAATTTAGTACCGTAACCTACAGGGTCCTGCAAGAAAAAGACAAGACCCGCAAATCCGTCGCCACAGAACAGCAGAAAATGAACGCAATGCACAAAGTCTCTCCCTAAGCGTTTTCCTCCTGTAGAAAAACATAAACACTTAACATGGCTTAATGTATTAAGATGCTATTAAAATATCAAATTAAATATACAATTTATTAATATAATGAATATGTATATAGTATTTTCCTCCCATACCGCAAAACGTGGCATAATGTGGCATAATGGACTAAAAAGGCCAAACTCAATATGCTCCTCTACATTATTAATATACATTTATGTACAGGCAAGCAGGTGAGCCCAGAATAAATGCAACACGCA